ATGCCAGTGACTTCTATGTAATACATGATCTGGACAGACCACAACATAACTGGTGAGACAATCTCAATGTCAGTTTGGCACTCACATTGACAGGTAGTATGTTGTAGAGGCCATTAAGTTCAAAGCACTGGTTTTAATTCAAAAAATGAACCTTCTTAAAAAGGAGCAGCTGGGATGTTCTATAAAGAGACAAAATTCTGATACCTTGCTTTTCTTATTTAATGTCATGAAAGCATTAGTTTTTATATCTATACACAAACTAGACTGAAAAAACTTTGAATAATGATAGTTGTTCTATATGCCAATTTATTCTGTCTGCAGAGTTTGGGAAAAATACAAGCACAGTAATTCTTGCAGAAAACATAATAAAATTACAGATCAGTTTGGACAGATTAAAAAAATCTGTCTTTTTCATTTGTAAAAACCAGAGAAAGTGATCTGAATGATATAGGATCAGTAACAGGAGCTGTAGGCCTTCATTCAGAGGTGACTTGTTTGCATCCAACATAAATCAGCAGTGACCATTTATCATCTAACAGCTGTTCAGTAGCCAATGCATGATGATATGGTAGCTCCTGTTGGAGAGGTGTCCAGGTGACAGTCACAGCCAATTGTCATCCCTGCTGGCAGTCTCAAAGAGCATAAAGGAACAATAAGACCTCGAGACCATAGCAGCCTATGTCTTCCAGACAGAAAGCAATTCCAGAACAGGACAATGAAAAGGTGTTTCTCAAATGAGCAGTGTCCACCCAATGTGTAACAACAGGATCTCAGTTTAAGGTGAGGTCAATAAAATATTTTTCATGGGAATTATCTGCATTTTGTATGGTATCATGCAAACTCTTTGAGACACTTTTGTTATTTATCCTAAGGGTTCGATTTTTCTGCTCAACAAATGCCACAGATTTAAGTGGTAGACTGCAGAATCAGTCATTTAAGAAAACCTATCAGTATTTCATCATTACAGTGTTCTTATTTTGTATTCTGCAAGCAAAAGAAATAATGAATTAGGAGAACATTTCCTCTTTCCATTTCTTATTACCGTGAAAGAACTTGCACTTACAATGCAGAACTGTAAAGTTACGGGAAATATTTTGCATTTTAGACTTTTGAATTCTTTTTTCCTAGTACTATCACCATTTAGTCAGGATAAATGCTGGGCTTCATATTGCTGTCTTCCATACACAATATTTAAAACAAGAAGTTGAACTTTCCAAGTACCATTCAGTTCTGATAGTTCCTTTCAAAAAACCCATTTGCTTGCCCTTAGAAGTATTACCTTAACAGGACAGCAAAACCTATAACACCACAGGGGTCTAATGTTCTACTCCTTATGCTTACAAAACAGTATAAAATAAGGAAAGCCAAAAGCTCATAAGCACCACAACTTTGCTAAAAATGAATCATATGTTGTTTTAGACGTCACCATTTACATTTAAAAAGCACCTCAGTATTTACAGCAAAGCCAACTGAATAAATGCATGAAGAAATAATTCTGAATCAAAACCATGTTATTTTTAGATTTCTGATGTAGCATGCAGCTTTGATGCCACATAAAATTCCTTTAATTTGACCAAACTTTCTAACATGGAAAAATGTAAATCCCAGTTACAGAAGGAGAAAAAAAACAATTCAATGTAGCTTCACAACATAAAAACAGTAACTTAAAGAATTCACTGTAGGTATTTCTCTCTGGTCTACCATTGTTCATTAAACAAGTATGCTGAATGCATGTCTGGGATCCAAAAATGTCACAACTCCTCTAATTCTGAATTGCCATTGAAGGTGGTCACACTTTACCAGGACAGCTTTCTGAGACTGTTTTTACATTTACTGGTGCTTCTGTTAAGTAAACTAACTCCTTGGTGGTCACACCAAGGACCATTAACAGCCTATTTCTACTACTTCATTTTTGCCTTCTCCTGTTGAGAACCTACCAAATCAGACAATTTTTCTTTGGTTGGAGAATATTACATTATATTTATCACTATAGCAACTAACCTAATTGATTTGATGCAGGTTTCTCTTCCACCATAGGATGGAGCCACTATCCCTAAGTATAATCTAAACATTTAAGAAAGGAAAAACTATCAGTTGATTATTTTACCACGTCAGAGAACATAATTGGGCTTCCGAAATTAAAGTACAAATGAAAGTCTAATGGAATGTACATGTACAACGAGAGCACGCTTTATAAATATGCTTATCTGTCAAGTAGAACTGAGAGTATGGTGTTTACTGGTTGCTCCCAGTACTAGGGAAGACTATCGTACAACAAATACATTCCCAGAAACAAAGATTCACAAAGTAATTAGGGGAAAGGGAGGAAACATTCATATAACTGATTCAGAAATAAGCTTTTTCAGACCAATAGATTAAAAATTAAAATAAGCAAGGTAGATCTAAAGTTTTATTTATAGTGCCAAAAAAAAGGAAATATGCAAAAGTTCTGTTTGGTTTTTTTTTTTTTGAGCTGCAGGGCTTGATGTAAATGTAGTAAAATGATACAGTGACTGATAATCAGATATGAGGTTCCTGTAATTACTTTAATAATGTATTCAACTATATTGTTTTTTTACAGAAGTCTGCTTGATATCAGAGATTTAAGTTGGTATATTTCAATATACCTGAATATAAGGTGTGTGGAAAAATACAGAACACCTTACATTGTCAAGTTCTTTTCTTTTACTGCCCAAGAAATATGGCAAGGCTGTTATTCTTAAAACATAACTGACACACACATCCCCTCCCCAGTTATGCTTTTCTTCAAAAAAAAAGCATCGGATGAAAAAAAAGACTGAATAAACCCTAGATGATTTTTAAAAGGATACATAACATTTGCAGTACTCCTTCACCTAGAAACAGCCTCACATTTTTTTCCTTGATTTTTAAACAAGTTCACCCTTTCCACAGAGCAAAAACATTTTTTGCAATTTTTCAAATACTACCACTGGAGAAAATGTGCATGGTGCTTCATTAACATTTGGAATTGCAGTTGTCAAATCAGTGAAACATTACATAAATGGTGGAGTGTTTTGACACTGCATATTTTAAGCTGTATGGTGCTTTTCAGCACTATACGGAATGAGGAGCCTACTACATGTTTGAGGAACACCATCTACACTGGCTGAGAGAACTAATTAGAAACTGGTTATTTAAACACACCAGAAATTGCCTTCACATTACCAGCTAACATTTGCATCGTTCAGCATCAGTAAACAATGCAAAAAATAAATAATGAACAATATATAACAATTCAAACATTCCTTCGGACAGAACATTATCAAACCTCTCACTGTTGAATATAAATAATTTTTAAGGTGTCAGAGTTTACAGTTAACTCTTTCTGAGGCTATGCTGATAGAAGATATCTGCACAGAAGAACTCATATCTTCTCATAAAAAGTCCAGGATCCTCCAGATATTTCTAGCACAAACTTAAAAAATATTTCCTATTACTAATATCCAGCTGAATTCCCTTTAAACTTAAACTATTCATCTTGTAATATGCATTTACTGAGTCACTTATCTCATCATATGCACATAAATCCTTTTAAATCTCAGTATGTTGTTTAGTATACCCTCTATATTAGCACATTGAATATAGCATTATGTACAAAATGAAATTATTTAAGTGTGGCCTGTTTGATATGATTTTTTATAAGTGTAACGCAAACTGTGCTAAATTACAAAAAAGAATTATAAAATACGTTGTTCTTTTTAGAATAAGCCTCTTTCACTGTTGTCAGTATGAAGAATCCCTGTAACATGAAAAAAAGTGAATTAAAGGTTCTCTTAGCTAATTACAATCTTGTTTCAGGGGAAAAAAAAAAACACTTAAAAACAGAGAATATAATATGCTTGGAGGGAATGGAATAGAGGGTTAAGAAATGCAGCAGGCATGCTCCTGAAAAACAGAATCCATTTCCTATTCATCATAACCTATACCTATTACAGCTCAACAAGACAAGCCTAGTGCAAAGTCTTTTATGCTACAGCTAATGAAAGAAATACACACTATGGGTAAATTACAGACCACATTCAGCTCACATTGGGAAAATACAGTGTAGATTCATTTTGGCAAAGTTGTGCAGGTCCCTCCTGATAAATTACATATTTTTTTATTATTGCATAGAAACTGCTTTTTCTATTCTCTTTGAAAGATTCACACTCTGGTACTATGGACTAACTTGCATTCCCTAGAAGTATGGGCATTAACTATATTTATATTACATAACTGCTTCAAAATTACTCTTGCTGAGAGCAAAAAAACTAACAAGAAAAAAAAAAAAAGACCTTTAAACGTATTAATAGTCTAGGCACTTGATTCTTACAGATATCTTATCTGCAACTCAGTGTGATTAATGGACAATCTATCAAGTCTGAAAAAGAATATACAAAACTCTACCAATAACCTGTGATGCAGCTCTAAAACTGATAGCATGGGCTTACTAAACTGCTGAGGATATGCTCAGGAAGTGCCGGGGAGTTCCAATGCAATTTCACAGTCAGAGAATCACATATGATCGTGGTGATGTTAAGACATCTGTCACTTGACTAAATATGTGCTTCCTAAAGGAATGAACATAAGGAAAATAGTTCCTGTTCATGGAAGGTGGACAGGGGTAGGAGAGTGTGTACGCAGAGGGAGCAGCCTGGGAAAGAGCTGGCATCATCTAATAATAAACAGCGAACAGTGGATCACGGTTACTACCACTAAAAAGTTTGTTCTAAAGATCCAAAAGAGGTTTCTGTTTGGACTGAAAATGCCACATCCACAACCTAAGGACATCTCATGCTCCCAAGCAGTGGCAGTATTAAAGTGTCAGTCTACCTGCTTTACCATGGGGGAGAGGGGGAGGATGTGTTGAGGTGGCAAGCCTAAGGCACAGTACCTACGCCTGCCAGCTTCAGAGCTTAGCCTTTGCCAGAAGCGTTACCTCAGATGGGAAGGGCGTGGATTTACGTCCAGCAAAAGCACCAGGACAAATATGTACTTACTGCAGTAAGCGATTAGGAGACTAGCCAGGATCATGATAGCCCAGAAAGTTGAGGACATGCTTGGCAAGGTGCTGGCATCTTTCCTACTGCTTCTCCTGGGAGATGGAGCCATTGAAGCCTCTTCCCCAGTGGGGGGGAAAGTCAGAGAGTTTTACCAGCCAGCTCTCCCCTTGACTGATGGCCTGTCTCCACGTTTAATCCCCAAGGAAGGCATCTTCCAAACACCCCGCGGTTCGTCAGCAGCAACACGGTCCTGTTGCAGGAACCATCTTCCAGCCAGAAAGCCAAGGCGACTCTAAAGCCTGCAGGACTTCAGCGCAGTGGCCACAGCCAGCTTTCCTCCTGTTACTGTGGCGAGGTTCACTAGCGTGGTGGGTTTTACTGGGACTCGGATGCCTGACGTGCTGCTGAGCTTTGAAGGTGTCCCACGAACGAGCCTCTTTTTTTTTTTTTTCTTTCCTTTTTTAATTTGCAGAAGTTGTTTCGCTTGTTGTCCTTTCCCCTGCCTCCTCCCCCTCCCCCGGGAGGCAGACCTCCGCAGGCAGGGGCCCGGGCCGAGGCGGTGCT